GCTTTCCCGCACAGCTATATATAATTTTTTCTAAGGCAGAGCATGTGATGTTAGAGGTTACACGTACATATTTTAATCAATGATCGCATAGAAATTTTTTCGGGATGGGTGCGGACAGAAGGTGTACCGATGTCAGGGTATCGTGCGGTTCTCCTGTTTCTTCGTTTTCCCTTTACGAATCTTTTTTGTTGTTTTTTTGTGACATTCCATGTTTCCAAACGAGCAAGAGATCGAAGCTACGCGTACTACGAGCCGCGCTTTTGTTCATGAACTTGTGCAAAAGTTAAGAAGAATTCGTCTCAGAATCTTGATTGGCCGATCCAAGCTTCTAATCTTACGTTACTCGTGTACTTCGCGTATTACAAGTTCAGTCGACGCAGCTACGTTCATTCAAGTCGAACGATACCGAAGATATTGTTTACACAGATCAGAACTGAGAAAGCGCAGAGAAAAGGAAAGAAGCAACGCCTTGCATTTTTCTGGGACGTTCTTTGCAGAACCAAGTGACTTCGTACGCCAACGTAACGATAAAGGATCGCACTGCCTAAATCGGTAATTGAGAGCGAAAGTGTTGAATGCGCGACAGTGTTGTTGTTTAGCGTGATTATCAGCGTGAAAATGTACGTGTGAGTGCGTCGAAGAAAACGGTGTCAGCGTATGTGATCAGCGACGGTGCTAATTGAAAACCCTCCTTAAAGCTATCAGTCATCCTCGAGACGCCACGATTGAATCGCACAGCAATTCGATTTCACAGACGAATTCGGATTCGCAAGATGAGAAACTGCTTTGCCGATTCGACTCGAGGCGTGATCCCATATATTCACGATAGATAGAAAGTGGCACACTGGCAAGCAAATACATACCATCATCGTTCATCCCCCCATATCGCACAATGAAGCAGCAAAAACATGCAACATTCCAATGTTCACACGCAATAGAGAAACATCACATGAGCCCCGAGAGACACCATGCTCCTCGTAAATACTCGTAGAAGTAATCGCGACGCGCCCTCATTTTGTGGTAATTCTCACTTTAACGTGTCTGTCGTTCGGCCGTGATCGGCCCGAATTGTAAATATTCTCTCCTCGAAATATTTCCACGGAAAATTCACGCACGATTGAATTGTAATTACGAATAAAAATGAGTGAGTAAGGCAAGCGTGGTATCCGCGACTTGCAGCGCCCTTTTTCGCGTTTCCAGACAAAATCAATTCAAACAAAATCCGTGCATTTAAGTCAAAACTACTTCCATTTATAGCTCATTTGTTCGATCGAATATATCCGAATATGTCGCTTTCTAATTACGCTACTAACTCTGCATTTAAATTCCATATAGCGCGAAAAAGATATGGGGAAAATAAGTAGTGTTCCCGCGAGAATGACAGAGAGAACATGGTGAGTAAATCGGGGTGAAAAAACGTCGTGCCAAAAATCCCCTTTTATGCGCCACCGCGTATCGCTTCGTCATTGTAATTGTATCACCCGTTGCCATGACAATAAAAGTTTGTATCGTGTTGTAAAATATTGTATCATACGTCAGTAAATTAGAGTCAGGTGTACCGCCGATATGTCGCCCCATGAAACTGGCTTGCTTGTACGAATGTATTTAGGATAAAACAATCGCGATACTCAATCGTGCGTAAGGGACGACAAGCAAGCGGACGACCAACACCATCAACGTCAGCATACAACGTACGATCCCTCATCTTTTTTTGTTTCTTTTTTTTTTTCTAACGTATCGCAGCAATCATCGTTGCTTAGCATTGCAATCCTGTAATTATTTCATTCTTCTTCGAATCATGAATCATGAAATCTATCGATGATTGATTGATTTGTCAGGCTGTGCGAATCTGATAGTCTGCCGTGAAACGCGTGAAAGTGTCTTTGTTTGTATAATCAAGCGTATGAGAGTATTGTCCAACGAACATACGAAGGAACAAGAAGGAAAAATAAAATAAGCAATTAGATAAAATTTTACGGGACGAGACTCGTCTGTATATAGAGTTTTTGTGAAATATAATTGTAATGATACGCTACGTGCGATTATATTAAAAGTGATGAAAAGTAATGTAATACGAACACGAACACGCGCGTACACACACATGCATACAATCACACGAACATATTTTGTATGAGCATGCGAAAAAGAGAGAAAGGTATAATTTTTGTTAAGTATCTATGAATTTATTGTAATGTACGTTTAAGTAATGATCACGTAATTATTGCTAGAGAGAGAGTGTTATTTATTTTTATTTGTTGCAAATTTATCGATTGCCTTCCATTTGAGTAAATAAATAAATCTAAAGTTATTCGCTAAGCTACTTGCTTTCTTTCCCCGAAAATTCGTACGTGTTCAAGCGTTTTGCAATTTTAAATTTGAAAGACCGCCGAAAGCTGTGTGCGCAAACGCATGCGCATTATACGATCTCGAATGACGAGTTTGTCGCACTTAAACGTCAAACTTGGTTAACGTTATTGCGTCTCTCCGAAATTCGACAGTGAACAAAATTGATTAAGTACGAAAGAAATGAAAATCTTCAAACATGCATAGTGCTAATTACGTAGAAACAGCGTCTTGGCAAGCAAAACGCGGTCAATTTCTTTATAATTATCTACGTTTCGTACCTTACAACACAAATCATATTACAAACATAACCTCGGAGATATTTATACGCTAATTTATTTTAGTATAAAATTCTTCGAAATTTTAACCGACAGTTGGTTTTATATCGTTGCATTATCCTGGCAAGTGAATAACTACAATACAATTAAAATGATACTCTATTAATTCAGAGTTTTTTCTTTATTTTTAGTATTTTTACTAATTACATGTTGCATTGCTATTTATAACATGGACAGAATGACAGAAAATTTGTTTTACCGTGGGTAATATATTTTGACAGAAATTACAGTTTTCAAAAGGTGCAAATCAAGAAATCACAATGAAACGCAAACCAAAAATAATATCGTCTGATGCAACTGTTCCAAAGAAGCATCATTGGGCAATGGGTTTACTTGTTTCTATGGAAGATCCTCAATATAAAGTGAAGGAAGACGATAAAGTAACTGTCATCAAAGATAAATATCCTAAAGCCCAATATCACTACTTAGTTATACCAAAAGCAGACATTCCATCGTTATGGCATATAAAAAAAGAAAATGAAGATTTATTAATACATATGCACTGTGTCGCTGAGGACTTGACTAGGCAACATAAAGAATCTGAATTCCTGTGTGTATTATAAGTTGTTATTCTTCTCTCATATTGAAATTAAATAACTGTGATATTAATTTACGTTATTTCATGCAGCATTGGATATCATGCAGTGCCAAGTATGCAGAGATTACATTTACATGTAATAAGTACAGATTTTAACAGTCCCTGTCTAAAGACCAAGTATCATTGGAATTCGTTTACAACTCCCTTCTTTTTGCATTCAGCAGGCAAGTGTATCTGTACCTTCTTTTCTTCAACAGAAAATAAACAGAAAATGTTATTTTATAAAATGAATCGTAGATATTTGCAACCAATTGCGCGAGAAAGGTGAACTGAAAAAGTTGAAATCAGAGGAGAGCGCGCAACATTTGAATACTCCACTGAAGTGTCACAAATGTCCGACCACTCCGAAAAATATGCCCGATTTAAAAAGGCATTTATTGGCGCATTTTTCCGGCCGAAATAACCCTTTCGATCCTTGAGTAAAAAACGCGAAAAACGATCGTTACCATCAGAGATATACTTTGAAGAAATTAATGCATTATTCAAATAGTTTTTTCTTCGTTCTATTTTCTCAAGTTGTAAGTAAACTCAGTAATAAAAGTATTCTTATGCAATATGAATTAATGTTAAACTAATGAAATATTTAAAACTCTAATGTTATCAAAGCATTTTTAGAATGCCGAATGATGTTAAATATTGTAATCAATAGACAATGTGCAATAATTGTAGTGTAAATAAATATACATTCTGTATATACTTACCAAGAATTTATTGGATTTATTGGATTCATCCCTTTAGATTTAAACATAAAAATAAAACAAAATAGTAATTTTCAGGTAGGATAGGAGAGATCGTGGTCTGATTGATAACACAAAGACGTACGATATTTCGGAAAATTTACTATAAATAAATTTGATGTTAATATTAATAGGTCTTGTCGCCTATAATATCAATTACATGCTAACTATTTACAGAGTCTTCTTATCCAATGTGAAGTATTTAAAGTGTATAAGTAAACCGTTTGTGTAGGTGTTGGCGTGTAAGTGTAATTTAATCTGTATACATTTAATAATACTGCAATTAATAGTTGAATCGCCCTTGTTATGCCGAAACAGTAGGCATTTGAATAATCGCAAGGCCTTGGCTGTTATTGCTTGCGTAATTTAAATTAACACATTCGAATGTTTCCCTTTTTTTTTTTTTTTTACATACACATGTTCTCGCATGATTTCTTTTAAGTATTCGTTCTTAACTCTTGCGAGCGCATAAATTAAATTAGCTATATATGTCATTCGCGTCGAACACCACTCAACAAATACACTAGAGATTTTCTTTAAGTTCAGCTAGAGTAAGTGAACTATAATTTAAGAAAAAAAAAAAAAAAAAA